AGTAATCTTTCCAGTCAAGGGGGCTGATTTAATGGCAAGAACAATTTATTTCCCTCTGGGTAGGCAGAAACAGTTGGACTCTAATTCTTAAGAGCCTTTGTTCAGGAACATCTGGGTTGAAACTACTGTAGTTAACAGATGATGTTGGCAGTAAAAAAAAAAAAAAAAAAAAAAAAGGCTTTGTATAATGTCGTTGTCAAATTTGGTAGACCTCTACTTAATAATTATCAAGAAAGCAATCTAACTTGTTATTACAACAGTTTTATTGCCGATTGCGGGCTTAAGACCTTTTTGTGACAAGTGGCATTTTTTCTTGAAAAAAGAAGTCATTTCTATTCCCCTGTAATTATTTTTGCAACCAGCAACAGCTTCCTGCGTTGGACATATTGGGGCATTTTATTTTAGAAACCAAGAATTAAATTATTGCTAGCTTATGGCTGATTTTATCCCATTTATCACATAGTGAAGGCTTTCTTGCTTCCTTTTTTCCCCTTACCTCACCTCACCCTGCTTCCTGATTTCACACCAATCCTGTAAATGTTGAAACACTGTAAGTTGAGTAAAGGCAGAATTAGAATAAGGATTAGATGGCTAATGCCCATTCTTCTTTACCAAAAAAATGGTGCTGAGTGATGCGAGTAAATGTTTAACCAGAGAACATCAGTTCTGGGTAGACTGAAAGTATATATATTCTTGAAAATGTAAGGGGTACATAAGGGCATAAGAGGGTCTCTAGAAGGTCCCAAGGACAAATTGTTGTATTTTAGAATTGGACTTGCATCTTGGCATTGTGGACGGAAGGCAAAAATTAGATTCCCAGAGCATATCACTACTTTTATTTCCTTCTGTATCCTTCCTTTCCCATCTGTCCACTTCTAACAAATAAGACAAGCTAAGAAGCAGCTTGTTTCATGATTCTGTACTGACTTCCAAGCTTTCTCTGCATAGACTTTCCTAGTTTGCCACTTTATCTTTTCTCCATCACTCCAGCCACTCATGAGGTTTACTCCCCATTCATACATGCATTTATTTATCCAGCCTTTACTGAAGGCTTACACTTTGAACTTTGCAAAATGCCAGTGAGGGAAAGCATGCATCCTGTACAGGAAAAACTCAGTCTAGAGGGAAGAGATAAGTAAACAAGTCATTACCACACCAGCTCCCCTGTTCACTCAGCTTGCTCTGCTCTTCCCCACTGGACACCTCCAATAGAGGCTACATCTCTACAACAGGATGCAGTCCTTAAGCCCAGGATTGTGACATTGGCCAACTCTCTGTGGCAGGATCTAACAAAAAAGTGTGATTTGAACACTCACAGAGGGAGCCATAGCTCTGCTTCCAGTGTAAATCATGGTTTATTATACTTGATTTGTATTCTGCAATATCCAGAGGATACGTATTATAGTAGGGATTAAAAACTTAGCTACCTGTAAGGTTCAGGCAGTTAGCAACAAAGAATGAAGAGTGAGGCCATCTGAGACAATAGAGAGTGGTGGGGACTGTGGCACATTGGAGAACAAACATCCCATCCAGAGGGATAAGTGCTTCACACCCTTTTCACCATGTGGAATGTGGTGCCAATGTAGCCATATCTGATTTTTCAAGGAAAGCTGAAAAGCCAGTTTTTATGTGAATTCACTTGTTGGCATCTATTTACGGTTTTTTAAAAAACACTGTACTTACCAAACAGAATGTGTCTGCCTGTTGGGCTTGTGACTGCCACTACATTTCCTCTCTTCTGATGAGAAGCATCTGTGCAGCACATTGCATCAAAGACTTGATTTCTACTTTTGGCGTTTTACATAAAAGTCAATTGACCTTGACCTAGTTGCTCTTCTCTGTTTGGACCTCAGTTTGTCATCTGCCTAGGAAGGGCAGGATCGGCCAATCTTGAAGGGCTTGAATCTGAAAATCTGTGTTGTGGCACGGCTTGCCTATGTTCTCTCTGTTCAAATCATTCTATCCCTCTCCTTTCCTTTGGCCAGTGGGCAACAGCTTGTTTTGGGTCAAAGGACTTCTTAAAAAGGGACTTCTATAAGGCATTGTAGAATCATCTTAGGTATGGATTTGAATGTTTTGACATTATGGATTTAAAACTGGAAGAGGACTCAGATCTGCAGGACCACCCTGTATAAGGTTAAGGTATGAATACAAGGCCAGATAGATTTTAGAACTTTCTTGTAGTAGGAAACTCTTTTCTTTTTATATCCAGTTGGTAAATGGTACTGTAGTAACTAGGAAGACATAATTCACCATTACTATAAACTGTTACTTCCCTTCTTACCAGTGGGATTAGGTTTACAAAAGCAATGAAAATATTTGATCCCATGAACTACCAGAGTCCCCAGCTGGACTGGTCATTGCTCATAGGATATTAGCAAATTAACCTTTGCACGATCCATACTAAGTTTAAGATCAGCCTTCTCCCTGATGTTTTGGTATTTAACTACTATTTACATTAGAAAGTGGTTACTTAATTTGGTAATTTGGTTCAATAAACATTGCATAAGCTATATATATATATTTTAAAAACAATTTAAGTTCCAGAAGTAACAGTCCCATAAAGGGTACATGTTAGCAGTGCTCTTTGGGACATAAATTAAGGAAGGCATTTTCCAGCTGTAGTTGGATATGTGTGTTGGTGTTTCAGCAAGCTGCCCAATCAGCACAAAGCCCAGGTCATTGGAATCTTCTGGCAGGAATCAGAAAACCTGCAAATCACAGAAGATCCCAGATATGCCTGTATAGAAGTGGTCCTTTGACATGACTGTCTGCTGAAGGCAGTGCTGGGGACCACAACCTCACATGTAGGAATGAGCAATTGATCTCACTCCCTGGAGGGCATGAAGCCTTCAGCAGTACTTTCCTTGAAAGCAACACATCCCCATATCCAGCATATCTGATTATGTCACTTTTCTATTTTAAACCAACTAAAATCCCCCAATTCCACTTATAATAAGCTGCAGACTCCTTGCTCTGGAAAGCAAAGACCTCATGATCTTGTTCCCACCTCATTTCCTGACCTAATCACTGTCACACTTGACTTTGCTCACTCAGCTGCAGTCTTAGTGGATTTATTGCTGATCCTCAAACACCCAGAGCTCTTCGCTGCCTCAGGGCCTTTATGCTTGCTGTTTCTGCTTCCTAGAAAGCTCTTTCCCCATATCTTCTCATCATGCTGTTGTGCTCCCTGCATCCTCAGAATGGTCCTCCTGAACCATCACAGATGATATACCCCTTGTGAGTTACTCTTTATATTCTTAGGTTATTTTATTTTCAACATAGAACTTGTCATCATCTAGGAATTTATTATTTATTCACTTGTATATTTGCTTATTGTCTGTCTCTCCCAATACAAAATAGGCTTCACTGGAGATCGAGATGTAGTGTATCCTGCCAGGTATCAACTAGACACCTTAGGCAAGTTACATGGACTTTCTGATCCTTGGTTTCATCACGTGTAAAATGGAGCTATCAATAGAAGTCTGAATAATTGGGGTAATAGCTTTCTCTTAGGGATATTGAGGGGATTAAATTGAACCACCAGGAAGCCCTCCCCACATTGTGACCCAGTACCTTATCCCCCTTACAATGCTGGAGCTGAATAAATAAGCATCAACTCATTGTTCAATCTATCAGTTAATCAATGTTCTGTTATTCAAAATGGTAATGCTCATTGTAGAAACTTGTCGTACATCATGTATAATTATTTTGTTTATGTGAGCTTTTATTCTATAAGTATGTAAGTGTATAGTTTCATCTAATTGTATTGTGTCATTTACATGCTCATGTCTTTTTATATATTTGTTCTATTTACATGTTCATGTCTTTTTGTGTAATATTATTTGTTGATCTTATATCTTGCAATATTCTGTGAAAAGCCATTTAGAATGCTAATACCATATTGCATTGTACTTTATTGCCTTATTATTGGACATTTAGGTTGTTTTCCATTTTTCTACTCTGTATAAATAATACTTACTCTGAACATCTTTAAGCATAAACATTTTACTGCACCTTTTGTTATTTTCTTAGATTTGAAACCCAGTAAATGGAAACCGTTTGTTTGTTTAGCTTCTCTGTATCAGTGTGTCTATTCACTATGCACTGTGGAGAATTCCAAACAAGTTCAGGACTCTTAAGGAAGTTGCTCTGGTTAAGGAGACAAAGTTCAGACACGTGAAACAATAGGGAGCGACCATAGCCAGTATAAAATTAACTAAAGGCTGAGTGATTTGGTTACAGACAAGGTGCTGGGAGAGTTTTGAGAATAGAAAATCACAGGGTAGCAGAAACTGGAGAAGACCTACTACTTGGAAGATTAGAGTTGATGTGGCCTGGGAGGATGGGTTGGGAAGAGGTAAGAAGGGATGGGGAGCGGGGGATGCACAAGGGAAGGGATGGAAACAGGAACAAGCCAGCCTTAAAGCAGTCTGCTCTGCAGTCAAGAGCACCAGGCAGATGAGGTGAGACAGCTTGGATGGAGCCAGGAGTGACGATGCCATCGTCATGTGCTGGGCACCTACACAGAGGCCAAGTATTATTACCATCATTCCAAGCACACAGGGGTCTGTTCAGAACAACAATATGAGCCATTTTTACAAAAGACTGAAATGGAATCCAAATAACAGGTCCAGCTGGTCCAAATCTCTCCCTCCCCCTGTAGTTAACATTTTACTACCCGACCGAGTAACTAATGAATCTGGCCCAGTGTAAATCCCCAGGCACAAATTCCTGCTTGGGCTCTGTGTCTAGACAGCCAGACCTGAGTGCAATTTGCACTTTGAGCATCCAGCACCTTATCACTTGCAAGAAATCAGGTTTAACAAGGAAGATGGGGAGGTGTTGCTTCCACCCCTCCCTTTGGCACAGTGCCGGTGGAATGAGGATCCCCCTCTGATAATGACTGCATTAGGAGACTGAAAGATCGTAATAGTGTTTGTTATGTGGCTCTGGTCATTCAGAAGCACTGATTGGGAGGCTTCTCCATCTCATTGCAGGCTGTGTTTTGTGAAGCTCAAGCTCCTAATGATAGCCATTGAGTACAAGTCTGCCAACCGAGAGAGCCGGTAAGTTTGCGGTGACCCAGCGGCCGGCTGACACTTTTGGTGGTGAGAGTGCATTCTGAGAACGGTCGGTTTACTTCTGCTTTCTTGTGAATTATTTATCTGCGTGGAACCAGATGTAACACCTCTCTGACCCTAGAGCACATTTTGAGGGTCCCCCGGACACTGCAGCTTCTATGCCAGACCAGCCTGGCATCCAAAGCCCTGCTGGGCATTCAGAGAGTGTTTCTCCAGGGAAGAGGGATGAGTCCTACAAAATATCTCCAGCTGATCATGCCGACCTGGACTTTTCACCTTCTAAGTGTTAAACCAGACCTTAAAACCCTTTTTTACTGCTGTGAGCAAAAAAGCAGGTGGACTCTGGCCTCCTTTACAGCAGCCTTGGGGTAGAGCTGTGAGGGGAGACACCAGCTCTCTTGATAGCCAAATTACAAGCAGCCTATTGTGTACCATATGTGCTTCTCCCGGTGCAACCAAAATCCAGGTGGCAGAATATCAGCTTCATGTAAATGAGCCAGGAGAGTGGGGCTCAGAGGCAGGAGCTCTCTTTATTTATTTATTTTACACTTAACTGTGTGCAAATCAGACTGATGAGGGACTGTGTCTGGTTGAAATAGATAATATCCCAGTCAATATATGAGTTCACGCTGGAGGTGGGAAGCATCATGCTAACAAGAAATTTTGCTGATGGAGTACTGTATGCCTTACAGATAAAATAGAGATGATTTTTTTGCTCCCCAATTCTTGTCAATAGTTTTGGAAGAGAGCTCATTGATAAATGCTCAAGCTTTTGTTCTGTGAAATGACACCCATAGTCTATTCCTTATAGTTCATTTTTTTGATCCTGCAGATGCCCAAATGTAGAGTGCAGATCCCTCCAACAAATACCTTAATACCTGAGCAGAGTACAGGGGAAGACTGATCCCTCCAACGAATACCTTAATACCTGAGCAGAGTACAGGGGAAGACTAGAAGTTTCCTTTTATCATCATTTAAGGAGTTTTCCTTATCTGGGTGAATAACCCAATATAGCCAGACTTTCAAATGTACAGTCTGTGTCTATGACAAGGCAAAACAGAAGAAAAGAAAACACTGGATTGTAAACAGATCAATCCAATGTTTTCTGTTATGTTAACTACCAGATCAGATTGCTCACAAAGTCAATCTGATTAAATGTTAAGCTATTTTGAAAACCCAAATCAACCAAAAGGAAGAAAAAATGGTAGATTGGTGGCCATATGTAGAACATGGCTGTAGCAGTTAACAAGTATATAGGTAGATAAATATTTTCTTTTTCATGTTGGCAAAGTGAAGAATATTGTTTGCAAAAACTGAGAGTCCTGGTTATTTGTTGTTCAGCAGATGAGGTGGAATTTTTTGGGATTACTGTTTACCCATGTTTTTGCCAATATTCACTTGTACCTGTGTAGGGGAACTGTGTGTATCCTGGATTTTTGCAAATGATATTCTCCGTGTTGCCAAGTCAGCAAATCTTGGTGTAACTCGATGTTCTCTATTTACTTTTGTGCATCTTTCAAAAAAAAAGGTCATGATGTGGGTGATGTTGATGCTGAATAGTGTTTTTACCATTCTGGAATAATCTGACTGCAGAGATTGCACCCTGAACCCTGAGCAGTTGTCTCTCATTCATTGCCTTTTGGTCCCAAGGAGAGAAAAAGAGCGAAAGGCTGTTAATGGTTCATCGTGAACTCAATGTCACTCTTCTAAGGAAACTAACTCAGAGCACTCCCTGAAGACGAAACTTTTCTTGGATAGGCCCTTCAATTGAGTCACAATTCTGAGATGTTTTCAACAAAGCCATATTTATAGATATAATTTTTAGTATATATGTATATTTTTTTTTAATTTTTTTTTTTTTCAGAAAAGGGCAAAAAGGACTTGTTTGGCTTTGTTTGGGCTTTCTTTGTACAGTTGCCAGCTTTAATTCTCAAATATGGCTTGGTCTCAGTGTGGAAGCACATTGGTTCTTGTGGAAAAAGGTGTGTTTGAGGGAATGTGGATCATGCCTCTGAGAAAACACAGGACTTATCAAACACAATATCCATGTTAAAGATAAACATTTTTTTTAATCTTCCCTGAGATAATAATTTTAATATTCTTCTTTATTTAAAATGTCCCACTTCTTTTCCTCTCACATTTTCTAACCGACTGGGTGTGAAAATTCAAAGGACCTGCTTCTCCTTCCCACCTTCTTTAACCTGTGTTTAACTACCTTCTTTGTTGTTGGTTTCACCCCATGATACTGTTTTCATGCTTTGCCGAAAAACCTTGTTTTCACATGCATCCTTCAAGTGATTTGAAACAAAGGTTTTATTCCTTCTTTCCTTTTGGTGTCAGTCAATTTATTATCAAATTGTTTGATTTTAAATTCTTTTCTTGTCGTTTTGCAGAAGCCGAAAGCGGTATGCACTCTTCGTTAACTTTTCTTCCAACCTCCACCCTCTATCTTCACTCCTAACCACAGGACTAACCATTTGCCAAGAATTCAAGAAGAGAGAGATTATATATATGTATATATAATCTCATTCCCTTGTCTAGTGTATATATATTATATATATGTGTGTGTGTATATATATACATATATATACACCCCTCTCCAACTAGAGTACATACATTGGAAGTAGCCTATTTCTGTTCCTGTTTGATTTGTTGGTTCTTTTGGATGACGCACTAACTTCTTTGCAGGAAACCTAAAAAAGGAAAGGCACACTCCTGTTTTCAGTCATGGCACCAATAATGGGAACAAATACTATGAAAGTTGAACAGGAGGATGCTTCTCTCCAGCCCTTTGTGTCTGTTTCTGTATTGTCCTGATGTGTCTTGGTGTCCATTGGACTCTGGCGCCATTTTGTCTACATACCATATCCACATTCCCAGTGACCTCCTCCTCCCTGTGTTGAGTTTCTTGTCTGTAGAGCAGAGTTCATGTCCTTTTATCCACAAAGCAGAGACCAAGCCCTTACACTTTGATTTTTCCTTACATTTATTTTGGTGATAACATTTTGAATATTTTATTTCTCAGGCAGTGCTCAGTATAGACTTAGAACACTGCTATTAAATTGCCAGATTATCACACTTGATTTACAGAGTTAGTACTGTTTATTAAGACAAACTCGTGGCTCTTTTTTTCCTAGTGTGTTTGGGCATATTTCTTAATACGAAGCTTCTCAATTTCACCATGTGATTTCACCCTGTTTTGCTGCTGTTTTACATTGCATGAAGCATGACTAAATCATCATCAAGGGCATTTAAAAAAAAACTTTTGGGTTAATAGTTCCAGGACAGCTTTTCAATAATGTGTTCTCTAAGACAATATTGTTGAAAACATACTATTGAGATGCCTACTTGTTCATCTTTTCAAGTTACTTTTGTCCGTGATTGTAATCACTATCATGTGTTTGTGTTTGTAATTGTGTGTGTGTGTGTGTATTTGTCTGTATCTCTTTCCAAAATCTGATTCTTCTGTGATTTTTGGAGTACATGTGTATAGAGGTGGCTTCCTGTCAGTTTGGCATTATTGATATGATCCAACTGCGAGAAGTTACTGCAACACTTTGCATCTTAAAGGTCCACAGTGGTTGCACCTCTGCTGTTGGCTTTTGGCCTTTGAGTCCTTTTATCTTGTGGTGAAGGCATGTTGTGATGTAGGCATGACTTGTCCTAAGTATACCAGAAAATGATTTGGCTTGCTCCCAGAACCAAATATCCAGCATTATCCTTTCTAGATCACCTCTTTCTTCCCCATCCCATATGGCTAATATTTTTTGTATATGCAAAATATATTTGATAATGCCATTTCTAAAGTTATCGAGATAGATGCAGGCTGAGTAAGTCCTCACCAGTATCTCTGGTGGATCACAGTGGCAGTCATTTGAGTCTCACCAACTGGGAGCAATCTTTATCATGCTGTATGTGTGTGAGTGAACTGGGCTTAAGTATATTGACACATGAAATATACAACTGTGTCTCCAGTGGTATCCGAAAGTAAAAGTGCGTGTGTCTAGTTGTGTGGGACTCCAGCAGCACATATTTTAAAGCCCAGAAAAAATGAAAAGTTCCAGAAAGGTGATAAGATTTGAGATGTGGGGTTTCTCCAAACTGTGCCTGCACATGGCCTATAAACTACAAATGCAGTCATACTCCCTGAGAGGAGACACAGTTGGTTCAAACAAAGTTCCAGCTGAGAGTCATTGTATATGAACTTGTGTGATCAAAGAAGCCTCTTCTCAATGGCGTGATTCATCTGGGCGTAGCATGAACGGAAACCCTAGATGGTTCTTATTTGCTTGCTTTAGTTAATGAAGTCCCATTAGCTTGCTAGACACAAATATAATTACTACGTTATCAAGTACAAACTATGTTCTCATATGAGTCATGCTATTTTTTTTTAAAATTGCCTGAGGAATGGTACATTACACCTACCAAAAATGAAAGGGAGAGGAGAGAGATATATATCTATCATATTTACCTGTAATGGATAGACGTTTCCTTAAACAATATCTGTTTCAGTTGAATTACCAATCATTGGCTGTCTCCAGAAACAGGAAACAAGTAAAGTTTACAATGATTGAAGACAAAACTAGATGTCTCCCAGTTGTGCACAAGTGGTGGAGAAAGGAATACGTTTCTTTCCTCCATCAAGCTGCAGTCTTCCAACTTGACCCAGTGTTTAGGAAGAAATACCCGATGAAGTGTGATACAACTTGAGACATGGTGCTGCTCTCATGGAGGGACCTGATAGAGACATTTCCCTATGGGACTGAGCCCCGTTAGCCAATTCCATGTAGATGTGTTTTATGTGTAGGAACCCATATTTCTCTTTGAAGGTTTGCTTTCAATGTTGAAATCAATTGCTCCAACTTCCCAAGGGGCACACTGTTTACATATTGGGATATTTACATATTCATACTTAATGCCTCTGAGAGATTGCTAGTTCATTGGCCAATCCCCTAGCCCTAGCAGAGGTGTGGTCACTCCTTTAATCAGCCTGACTGATGAGAATTGTAGCTTGTTCTTTGAAAGAAAACTGTGACCTCCTTTCCACTTATTTGTGAAGAAGGAAAACTTCTGGGACTGAGGTTCTAAAAACTTATTTTTTTAATTCATTCAACCAATAGTTGAAATGTGCCTGTTGCATACAATGCTCTAAGCCTGCTACTCCAAAAAACTCAAAGGTAAACAGAATGTGATCATGTTTTGTACCCTTCTACTCAACTGTGGGTTCCTTACAGAAAATACGTATTTGCTCCATGTAGGAGGTGAGTAAACACACAATAAGTCGAGACTGAAAACTAGTCTGAGAGCAAAAGAAACAGAGACAGCAAGTATCCTTGAAGAAGGGACCACACTAGCCCTGTGCTTCCAGCTGTCACTGAATGTTTTCTGTTGAAACCAGTAAGGTCAAAGAAGAAAGGATAATTTATATATTCCTTGAAATGAGGGAAAGTCCACCTCTGCCAAGATGTCCTTGTTGGAATTCTGTTAATGGATATATGGGCTTTTTCTCTTAGAGATTTTCATGATTCTTCACATGACACATGTTGAAGTTTATCTCTGATAAACTAGTGAATTACATAAAGTTGGAGCCAGAGAACTGATTTAGAGTAGTGCACAGGGAGAGAGACTGTTGGCAGTCATTAAAACAAAACAAACTTAGCATTGGATACTCTCCTAAAGAGATCAGAGATCCTTGGAAAAATTTATGTATTCCTATTAGAAGGTCAATAACAAATTCTAAAGATAGTAGGCAAAAGGGGGAGAAAGTCACTACTATGCAAAATCCTTGTCTTTTTATATTTTGAAGAAGAGGGGGATTAGCATTTTATTTAAACTTTCTAGATTTGGAATGTGTATAGAAGACTTAATGTCTAAAATAAGTATATATATATATAAAACCAGTAATGTAGTTCCTGGTGCTTCAGCACCAAGAGCATCTTTGTGTATCTAGATTTCTTTCTTTCATTGTTTCAAGGGCTGGGTCCATTCTTTAGATTCCCACCCAGAAGGCTGCCTTAGCCTTAGCTGAGTATCTACAAACGGTTCTGCCTCACATCTCACATGGGGATGGTTTAACCCCCCTCACCCCTGTTCACAGGGAATAAGAGGGCATCCTGGAATCCACATGACCTGTGGGGCAATTAGAGATGCTTTTGGTTCCTTACACAATCAGCCATAGATTTAAGGAACAGAGGATACTTCACTATGCAGACAAAAGTCAGTCTAAATTAGCTGACCACCAGATATTGTGCAGGGATAAAATGTTTTGGATTTCCTTGCAGTCAGTGGAAAAGTCTTCCAATGACAGTAGGGCACCTCCTCCTGGGTCATTTATTAGCAGCAAGGACAAAGTGGAGAGTAATGGTGCTGTGAGCATTTATTTACCTCTCAGTTTTATAATCACCTAACTCACTGAGAGTGGCAACTATGAATTTAAGACCTTCTATGTGTCAGTCATGTTGCACATAGTACATTCTTTAACTCTCTTAGAGACATTGTAAGCTAGCAATTATTCACCCGTTTTATAGAAGAGAAGTGTGAGGCTTACCTGCGTTTATAAAGCCAGGACCCAAAGAGGTGAGACCTGATTCATGTGCCTGAACCCTTAACCAACATCAGCAGCAAACCTGAAACACAAATGTTCTTTACATCAGAGCCCCAAATCTTTCTTCTCCACTGCACTAACTGGACTAAAGCAAACTCAAAGGCTATAATAAATTATGTCAACCTGCACTCTCCACAATGCCAATTCTAAGTGTTCACTGTAGGTTAATTATTGTTAATTGTTGATAAAGAATAATGAAACACATAATATGAAAAAAGGAAACAGCATTCTATGTGATGCTTATTTGGTTCATATATGTCACCAAGACTTTGATGTGGGTCAGATTTTTCCTTTTGAATTCTGTTGTTCAAATCATGATAGGATTTTTTTTCCATTCAGAATTTTTTCTTGCATTTTTTATATGAATAATGTCAAAATGTAGGCTTTTATAACTTTAAGGAACTAGCTCCTTTAGGCTCCAGAAGTGCATGGAATATTTTGTGTAAGTCCTTATACATTATTCTGTAGTGTACAGTTCTTTACCCTATAATTTAATCTCATTAATGGGCAAGGCATTTTGATAAGAAGCCTGTATTATATTCCATGGGGTCAGCTAGAGAAAATCTCTGATAACTTTGTTGAAAAAGAAATACACTTTGGCTTTTCTTTACAAGAATTAAGAAAAGGAACAATAACTCACATGCATTGAGCCTTCTATACATCATCTCACTTAATTCTCTAAAGACTGTTATTACCATTATCCACCTCTTGTAGGTAAAAAAGTTGAGTTCTAGGGAGATTTAGTAACTGGCCCAAAGTCAAACAGCTATTAAGGGGTAGCGTTGGAATTTGGACCCAAATTCTGATTGCAGAGCCAAGGCATGTAAAAACTGCCTTGCAGGAAAGGAGGTAAAAAAAAAAAATGTGCGAAATTTAGAATCCTGCCCTTCTAAAACATCATACTGAATTGGCTTTGAAAGATAAATTCATCTAAACTGTATGAGCTCTGACACTTCGCCCTCGTGATTGCATGAAGTCAGAGGGCTCATTATACCCATGTGAAGAGTTGGCGGAGGGGTCATTAGGAGGTGCTTATGGAGAGCTGCTGCTCAGTGCAGGCCGTGCTATTAGTGTGGACTGCTGCTCTCTGATTTGGGAGGAATCTCATTGCTGCCTGTGGTTGTAGGGCTGAACAGTTAAATCTTCATAGCCTTTTGATATTATTGAGTGTTAATAATAGCCATGACACAAGTACAGTTTCCTCCTGTCAGGTCTTGTTATAAGTAATGGTAGATGTTCTTGTGACCACAGACAATTATTTTGCAATAATGGTCTGCTCAGAGGTCTCCCAACCAGGTGAATAAAGGTTCACCTGTGTCCTTCCTGTATGACTACAGACATATCACTTCACTGACCACAACACTTTTCTGAAATGGTTTACCAGTAGAAAAAAAGATTATGTGTTAATTACCATCCTCTATATTTTGATTGTTTGGGGCACCTGAGAACTTCCTTTAGACTGATTCCAAATATCTATTACCTTATTAAGCAACATCTTTTCAGAACAAGGAGTACCTCTGCTGTTTCTGTTGCTTCATTCAGAGTCCCTAAATTCAGTATCCATTAAGCCTGAAGTCTCTTCTCAGTCTGTGCGTCAGACAATCTTGTATTCTGCTTTTGATCTGCAGAAAATTAAACTTGTTTGTTTCATCCATTTATTAGATTAGGATACATTTATCTCTTCTGTCAGTCCAAACACATCTTGGCCAGCTAATCTATTTACGCCACTTTGAAATAGGACAATGTATATTTAGGTTCCCACTTCTCTGCAGGGCAAGTTTTTTTAAGGGGTGGTTTGCATTTGTTTTCTCAATTTGCCTCAATGAGGACATGCTAGACACACATCTTATTCAAACACCCTGTAAGTTTTTATAAACAGCAGACTGGAATCGTTAAGTATATCCAACTGCTAACTTAAAAAAAAAAAAAAAACTGTTTGGGTAAATCCAATTCTTCCTATAAAGGCTGTACATGGAATCAATTTCCATGTCCTTATCAATGTCATGAAGACGTTCAGTTTCCTTCTGCATTGGTTACAGGTGTCTTGTACCATTCCCCGTGGTAATATGTGGTGTGTGTACATGTATGTTTCTGTATACATATAGGGGTCCCATTAATGCTCTGTCATTTAATGGAAAATTGTTGTAGCAATAGTTTCATCAGGCCAATAATGCTTCTGTGTTGACCACCAATAGCAGTTTCAAAAGGAATGTATTCTGATGGACTTTGCTTCAAATCATATGCCCATGATGGCAGCTAGACTGCCCCATTATATAAACCCAGGCCCTAAAACTTTGATTTGCTTTGATTTCCTCAACTGGGAGCATGCCAACCTGGGAAGTAAGCAGTAGTGCTTAATGATGGCATTATCCAACTAAATGTATGGGGCAGTGGGCATTGGGCTCTGGACAAAATCTTTGGGGAAAGCTCTAGACTAGTGGGCCCCCTATAAACACAACAGTATGGTGTAGCCTTCGAGGTTTTATTCAGAACATGACCTCACAAATGTATCTTCTCTGTTTGTTTTTGTTCACTGAGCAGTATATTAATTAATCCTGGAAACCATCTTAAGATCCAAGAAGGTACTTTAGGATTTTTCATCGCAAGTGATGCCAAAGAAGTTAAAAGGTAAGAGTTTATTTTCAACTGGCTTTCTTTCTGGCCCAGCCATAGACACCTTGACGCACGGAAGTAGGCGGGCTTCTCTAACCCCAAAACTCCTTAACATGTCTATGGCCATCAATTGGTGTAAGAAAAACTTCCACAGACTCCTGTTCATGTAGTCAATTCCACATGTCTAAATGAGAATAATAAAATTTTAGAACTAAGAAGCCTAGTTACCTGCTCATTCATTTTATGAGGGAGAAAATGGGGGCTCAGAGAGCTGAATGACTGCTCAAGGTCATCCTGATTCCTGATGACCCAGAACAACATAACAAGACAACTGGCTGTTTGTCTAGTGCTCTTTACTTAATATTATCTGGGAAATTTACTTGAGAATTATCAGTTTTCTACTGTCCCTGCCAAATAGAATTTCAAAAGGTTGGGATTAATTTCAGATGGAATATGAAACTGGCTCTATTTCTGTTTGTGGCCTACTAGGTAAGTGGCTGAAGTTGTCAGTTTCAGTTGTTAAGCCACTCGAAGTACAGCACAGGATTTCATTGGCCTGCATGTTTCATGACATTTTTATTCGTATCCTTAAACCTGTTTAAGCAGCCTAGGAATTCACCAGGTCCTTTCCAGCACAACATGGAATATTGTTGTATTTGATTCTAGCCTATGAACTTGGATAAATTTACTAGCAGAAAATGCAATGCAAATGTTCAGACAGGTCATTCAGCTCAAGAGTAATATTCCATAAAATATTTTAAGTACATTATTAATTGTGAAGGTCTATCATTATTTATATAAGCCTATGGTCTTCATTGAATGAGTTCCTCGTCAAAGCCAGGCCTGTACTAGGTGTGCTACATTCTTTATTGCTGCTCTTCAAAATAACCCTGGAAGGTAAGTCTTCTTAAACATTCAGAGCTTTGGTTTCCTCATCTGTAAAACTGAGATAAGTGATTTGTCCGAGGCCATGAGGCACATAAGTAAGTGGCAGAGCCCAGAATGGAACTGGTCTTTCCTTTTCTAAAACCCACTCTCTTTCTACCAAATTTAATAATACTACCACATTCTTACAAAGGAGGGTTTATTACACCCCAGCACTATTTTAGGTACTAGGTTCTCTGTATCTAAAACTTGTTAAAATCTCACAGCAACCCCATGAGATAGGTAGCATTACTCTTTCCCACTTTACATATGAGGAAACTGAGGCACAACTTGGCTAACTAACTTGCCCAAAGCCATACTGCTAGTGAGGAATAAAGCCAGGAAGTTCGGTTCCAGAGCTTGCACTCTTAATTATTTGCCTGGGTTGAGCCTGACACCCTGAGCACAGAACAATGACATGTGAGCGTGGATACTTAGGGTCCTCTTCCTCCCCACCCACTCTAGCAAACTAAGCCATACTGGCTACAGAAGCTTTCAGGAAAAAGAAAATATGGGCTGGTGGAAGAAAAAAGAATTCTTAAACTGAGCTCTCTAATAACTTAAATTTATTTCTGCAAATTGGGGAAAGATTGCCATGATTCAATTGTAGGGGAAAAATACCTCCCTACTCAGTTCACGGAATCTCCCTGTTGTTCAAGAGTATCCTGAGAACTGGGTACACCTGAGAAGGGAAATTAGGATGAATGGGACTGAACCTTCCCTCTCCCTGTGCTCCAATCAGGTCTCCTGGAGAAGAAGCTTGTGCCCTTGTCCAGACTGTGAGACACAAAAGCTTGAAACAGCATCTCAGCACCAAGTACAGGAGGCTGGGGAGCACAGGAGCACCATATATCACGTATACCTCCCAGATAGCAAATATAACATGAAACTCCCATTTGTGTAATTCTATTTCCTATTGCATCTCTCACTAATGAATGTCACAAATACCAGGCCGTCCAAAAAACAAATTACCTCCTATATTAGGGAGTGCAATATGTCTCATTTCAGTGCTTTATGGTATTCACAAATACATGCTGACACAATCAGCTACAACACCAGCCTGTAATTATCCATGGTGTGTGATGTGTCAAAGCAAATGCTGTCAGTTAGGGGATTTCACATAGATGAAGACTGCAGAAAGCCACAGAAAGGACATTGGAGATTTGAATGAAACTAAACAAGTTTTGTAAAAATGGAAAAGTAGATTATGATGATCTAGTATCGAGTTTGCACCCTCCACTGCAAAAAAGCAGCAAAAGAAGTTAATGAATTCTGGCTCATAGAAAGCTTCAGATGCAGTGCTTTAGAAAATGAGGAGTGAAACCATCCCACTGCAGTCTTAAGAAGGTCACTTGAGGATGGACATTTGGGTACTTGCTCTTTCCTCCTTGCCACCAAATATTTTCCTTTTAAAATAACATTGGAACATAGACTTTAATATAGGAGTCACAAAACGGTGGCTCAGTGACTCAATTTGGCTTGCACATATGATTCTTTTGAGTCACAATTTTTAAAAATAAGTGAGTTGCCAAGGTGAAAAAAGTTACAAGCTTTTATATAAAAATCCTTATTACTCGTTTCTCCTGAAAAATTGGCAGACCTAACAATACTGGGAAGCAGTCTCAAACTCACTCATTCATTCACCCTTCAAGTATGGGTAAGTCATTTACATTTAGAAGGCTCTATACAAGGCACCAGGGAAACAGTGGTGAACAATGGGAGAAGTCCCAACTCTCACAGGGCTCATATTCTAGGCAGGAAAGAATGATTTTTTTTTTTTTTTTTTAAATTAATGGTAAAAGAATTAATGCAACTGAGTCACTGATTTGGGTTGGGTATAAGTGAAAGCTTCTCAGAGGGGATGGTATTTGAGCAGAGATTGAGATGAAGCTAAATAATCCATCAGGCAGGGATCAGATAGGAAGAGGAGATGGGCTGCGAAGAAGTTCATTGTGGGTAGGAACCCCAAGAAGGAAAGTGTGGCTAGGGAATAGATTTGGAGAGAGTGGTATGAGATGAGGTTAGAGAGAGGCAGAGGCTGGCTCCTAAAGCACTTTATAAAAAGATTGGATCTGTTATAAAATGGAAATCATTGACAGCTTTAAGCTGATCTGATGTATATTTTGAAAAGGTCATTCTTCCTGCATTGTAGAGAATGAGAGGAATGGGGCAGGAGAAGAGGTGAGAGACTCAGCTCCTATTACACAGTTTAGGTGAGAGATGATGGCAGCTTGGACTGACCACTGAGTGGAGGTGGAGAGAAGTGGGTCCCATTCAGACTATATTTTGGAGAGTGTGCAGAACCCCCCAGTGAATTGGGTAGAAGTGAGGGAAAAAAGAGGAATGAAGGATGAAGGCTGGAGTCAGGGCTTAAATTGTGTTGATCTTAACCAAGATGAGGGATACTAGAGAAGGAGCAAGTTTTGGGTAGTAGGAAGTTAAGCATTCTATCTGGGCTATGTTAGGTAGGAGATGTGTACTAAACATATACACAGTGATATCATAAAGGCAGTTGGATCTTAGAGTCTGGAGTTCTGGGGATAAGTGTGAATTGGAGATGAATATGTAAATGTGGGTGCTGTTTCTTGTCCTGGCAAGAAACAGATGACACACTTAAATGGGAGAAAGGAGGAGAGTTTTATGAAGAGAGTGTGTAAAGTTATGGGCAGATAGTTAAGGAAAACCAATAAGGGATGGCCAAACACTCCAGAGCTAGCAAGAAAGGGGAGCCACCTTCACCCTAGATCTGTAGGGTCAAGGGGAAGGAGGGCTATCAGGAGCTGGAGAGAGAGGCTGTCATGTGCCATTTCATGGACCTGGCCAGGAGGGCACCCAGGGGGTCAAGGTGGTGACCTCATCCCCCCTCACCCTACAGTCTCCTGTTGACTCCTCCCACTGGACATGCAGACCAGGAAACTGGAGGACAAGGCCACAGTGAGAAGAAAACCATCATTTAGTGCATGTTCTCAGGGCTGGATAGCATGGGAATTGGTCCAGTCAGCATTGGAGTAAAATAAGCTATGAAACTCCAGAGGGGGTTTGACAGAGGAACCCACTGACTCGTGGCTTTCGTTTTTCCTTCTCTGCAGACCTCCTCAACTCTGTCTCACTTTGGCTGACCAGAAAAGGTGCTTTCAGAGTGACAAGGTTGATATTTTCATTTGACCGAGAAACGACATACTTCTGCCCCCTCAAGTATATATTTGACCAGACTGTGGGACTTTTGGTGTTGTATTTAACTTCCCCACCAAGGGCCCAGGGCTCATTGCCCACGTGTCCCCATGAGTAGCATCAAAGGCTGTTCTCAAAAATGAAAGACGAGTGAGCAGACGCAGTGTGTCACATCAGCAACTTTTTTCCCAGTTCCTTTGCAAATGGAAGTTTATGAAAAGGAGCACTAACTCAAATCACAGAATCCTGTGTTTGAAATAAACGGTCTTACAACAAACATTTCCGACTGCAAATGTCTAAACCTTTCAAAAGATTAAAGGAAATTAATGCTGGCATGTTTCATTAATTTGGCACCACCGTGGAGGAAATGTGGTACTCATTTCATTTGGGTGGATTATGAAATGTGTCAGTTTTTCCATTCTCTTTTTCCAGGGCATTTTTTTACTGCAAGGCCTGTCATGATGACATCACAGATCCCAAAAGAATAAAAAAATGTGGCTGCAAACGGCGTAAGTGGTGTTTCTCTCCCTGTCCCCTCCCTCTCTCATTCCTATTCCCCAAATTCCTTTTCCTTTCCTTTTCTTATTAGAGAAACACTAAACATCAAGAGTTTTCTTGAATATGTTTATGTTTCACCCACCAGTTTAAAGAAATATGAAATCAATACCTGTCCTTGCTTTGTTAGAGCAGAGGATGAAAAATCACCACCGTCAACACCTAGGAATGAACCCTGTGCCTAGTCCCTGCTTCTTTACTCTAGAGACGCCTCAGTAGATGTGTCCAGTCTAACAGAGACAAGTATGATATATAAAAAGGAGGAGAACTAAAGCCATAGAGAATGAAGTGTTTTTGTATCATGATTTCCAGTGGATTGGGTACCCCTGGGTATATGGGGTTGAGAGAGAAACTAAATCTGAGGACTTGGTCCCCAAAATGGAAGTTGTCTCTTTCCATTTGGAATTCCTGCCAGTTTTAATACCACAGGCCAGAATTTGCAACTGTGATGCCTTCAGACTGCCCCCAAGAAAAAACTTTCCATTGTCAAAGGGCTTCAATTGCCATCGTCCCAAAGGTCGAGCTCATGCACCGTTGCTCTTTGGGGTAGACTAGACTGGGCTCAGTTGTTTCTGGCATATTCTGTCTCAAGACCCTTCTAAAGCTGTTTGCCACTGGGGCCTCTTGAGAAAGATATAGTGAGTCTAGAACGTGGAATTGTGAGCTCCTGAGACACCATAACTTAAGTGGCCTTTGCTTTGAGAAGATTGTGCCTTTTGCAGTAATTATGCTGTATTGCCTAATAGAAATTGTTCTCAACCCTCGAAAAACAACAACAACAACAACAAAAAAGATGCCATCCTTCCTATGGTGAGTTAGTGTTTTAAAAGCTCCTCACAATCATTGCTTTGATTCTCACCCTAACCCCATGTAATTGGCAGGGGTGTTATTAATCCCATTTTACAAAAAGAGGAAACTAAGCTTCCAAGTTTGAGAGGATGAGATTGCTGACAGTCACACAGCCAACATACAGGGATTTGGGCACACCTGAAGGCCTCTATTGATTCTCTGGGTGCTCTAACAGTTTTTTGCAGAAGGGAAAGGAAAGATGGGCAGTCTTGGGTTCTTGGGTCTGATGAGTAAGAACAATTCTGAAAGATGACCCCATAAAAATCCTGGTTCACAAGCAGAAGCCAGACAGAAGAGCACCATTTCTGAGGTATGCCACTGAAGGAAGGACGTTTTTCATTGTACTCCTAGAGGGGGTACAGAAAATGTAGAACCAGTCATCTATAAATATCGCTCTGCTGGAGCATAGAGAAGTTCCTCAATCCATGGGGAAAATTCCCTTGGGGTGCACTCTTGGTTTAGAGAAGTTTCTGCAGAAATCCCCTCAGGATGGGGCAGCTTAGGCCCATGGGTTTCCTCCCCCTGTTTCCACTGACTTAATACAGCTGGTCCCCTTCCCCCAGACTCTTACAAAGATGAGTATTTATTGATATCTCAAAACAAGAGCCTCTAATTTCTTGGGACCTAAGAATTCCCTGATTCTGACAACCTACCAAGAAGAGCATCTAAGAGAGAACAAGGCCTAGAACGAACCTCACTGCCCATTCAACCCCCACAGACCCCATGAATCCAAAGGCCATCTTCACCAGGCAGTCCATCCTAGCCATGCTCAGTTGGTTGTGGACACAGCAGCATGGCTGAGTTGACCAGACATCTCCTGAATCATTTCAATCAGAAGGAGCACAACCGTCTGAGGGTTGAAGCAAATAAGAGAGAACAACAAATACAAGAGGTGAACAATTCTGTAAGGAATGCTTGTAGTGAGGAGTTGAGAAAGGGAGGAAAGTGAGGCCAATAATCCCTGACAGGATATTTGCCAGACCCTCGTCCCACAGAGTATCAAGGAAATAGCAAGACTGTGATTCAAGTATTGATTAGCCATTCACATATTTTTGAGTATCTTCTTTGAATGAGGTGCTATTTTTGGTTCCAGGGATGGAGTGGTGAACAAGGTAAAGTCCCTGCCCTCCTGAATCTTTTACTCTGGTGAATGGAGACAAACCATGATCTTGCAAATAAATAAATTCAGAGATAGCCAGTGCTAAGAGGAGAGAAGAGACTGTCTGAGGGTTGAGGAATACTGCAGTGGCGCTACTTTATAGCTTGGAAGGTCAGGAAGGCCTCAGTCAGGGCTGATGTTGAGGTCAAGACCCAATCCAGATAAAGAGAAGAGCAAATGTCAAGGTCAGGAGGCAGGAATGAGTTTGTGGTGTTTGAAGGATAGAAGAAAGACCAATGGCACTGGGGAGATAATAGTATGAGATGAGATTAGAGAGGGAGGGAGGGGCCGTGGTAAGAAGTGGGGGTTTTAGTCTTTTATTAGGAAGTCATTGGAAGATTTTAAGTGAGGAAATGTCATCATTAGTTCTTAGTTTAAAAGATGTCCCTGGTGTCCAGATGGAGAGCATTCTCTGGAGGAAGGAGTGGAAGTGGAAGGATGAAGTGAGAACTTCCCTGACTCTTGCTCTGACATTGGAATGTCCCTCATAGGATGCCATAGTGGAACACAGCAGACTAAACTGTCCCTAGAAATAAGAAATAAGGATTTGGCCTCTGGGATGTTTTTCCACCTTGGTTCCAGACAAATAAACAGCAGCAGGCTTTAGCTTCATCCTGGAGAGAGAGGCACATAATTGTTTGAAATAATTTTATTCTCTTCATTTCCTTTAAAGTTGGTGGAGCTAGTGAGGTATATAATCTCCCATTACACACTGCACCAATTGCTGCAAAAGGCCTGCCTCTACAAAGCCAAGCCAGTGCAACAAGGGCCTCACTTCCTTCTCTGTACATCTGCGTGCCTCCTCCCCCAACCTCAGCTTCTTCATTTCACAAAGGCCTTTGGCTATGTAACAATCAGAATTGTCCGAATATTGTTCCTACTAATTGAAAGGCCATAGAACAGAGGGCAGGATGCAGATGTGTGTATGAGGTGAGGGGGTGGTTAGAATAAAATGAATTATTAAAAATAAACCTCCCCATGTAGGTCAGGCAAGTGAGGAAATTGGAGAAGATGTTTTAGTTGCAAAGAACTTTAATTAGAAGAAACCAGGATTATTAATAACACACTGCGGGGACCCCCATGCCTTTGAACAGACATTGCTTGGTTCCCAGTCTAAGTTGGAGAAGACGGCTGACCCACATACTCATCTGTCCAAACGTGTTAGTCCGGGTATTAATAATTCACCCTGGAATGGTAGATCCCTTGAGGGCAGAGCCCATGACAGTCGCTGGCCCTTACCCATAGCTTCCTAACCCTCCTTCCCCAACCCAGTCTTCCCCTTTCACCTCCACCCCTACCTCCTCATTCACTTTCATTCAGTAACCTTCAACATTTCACGTCATCTCATCTGGAGAAATATCAGGTGCGGACATTCCATTTCTGGAAATCCTGTGATAGTATAGTTTAACGTTTGCATTTCTTTCCATTTCTTCATAGCTCTCTATCAAGGAAAAGAGTCAAATTCAGCTGTCTGGCCGAGGAGCAAGTTCTCAGGGTCTACTATTTACCCATTTTCTTTTTCTGTGTAACAAACATTGTCTAATGATTTATATTTCTTCCCCCAGCCTCTAAAAGTTTGCCAAAGTGTGGACTCCTAGGGGACAAGTAATGTCTAGTTTGATGTGTTTGAAGGAATTTTCTTTGACTGCAAATCATTGACATATCTTTGATTTATTTTTTTTCTCTTTGCTGCCTTGGAATACGGCCCCTACTCTATTTTAACTGCACACTGGTAGTGATATATTGTGAGTAAAACGGGTTCCCAGCAGCCCGGAGTCCAGTTCCCCCTGTCTTTCTCTAGAAGAGATACTCTTTTAATTTTCTGTACAGTTGTAGTTTCCTTTTTACTTTTGGTATTTATGTTGCATGTAGCAGTGACATCATGCCCCAACTCCTTCATCCCCCAACGCAGTCTACAGAGTAGTCTGGAGCCGGAGAGTCCACAGGGAGCCTGCTCTCCATCCATCCACCGCAGTCCCCAGGCTCTGGCCAGCTTCGGGCACTGTCTTATTTTTCCGTTTGAAAATAAGACCTTGACAACAGTGTGTTTCTCTTGAAGACCTTGTCTCAGGACTTTTAAGGGACTCTGATTAGGCTGAAATAATTACCACTATAGCTGTAGATGCTTCATCAGCTGGGGTAATTGTCATGCTTGCCTTTGATAAATTATACTTGGTCTCCTTTGCTATTGAGCTTCAATTCCTCTCCTAAAGGAAACACATATGCCACATATATATTCCCATGTTGTGATAGATATATATACACACACACACACACAATATGTACCATGATGTATCAGAATATATGTACATTCTTATATGTAAAAATCCATATTTTTACATATAAGAGTAGAGATATTCCATAGTGTGATGTATTTATTGCAGTATACGCCTCTCCGTACGAGAAGTGCTCACTAGATAATTAATTGGTTACTCAACTTTGGGACTGTAAGTATCTTAATTGTTTTACTGGAGACAAGTATTTGCACAGTGGTAATTGTTTTCTGCAGTCTACGAAGTTTCCTAGCTTTACAATGAAGTTTTTCTTTTAGTCAGTACTCAGTAGGACACACCCAGTTGCTTTATGAGTGTTAGTCAGACATCTTGGAAGATCTGTTTACCTGTTTAAGGCAGAAAAACTGACTGGAGGAGAACATTCCATTTCAGCAATGAGCTATGCATAAGTCTGAACAAGTCAATGCAAGTGTCTGAACCTCTAGCTTACTCAAGGAATAGGATGTCCTTTTACTCAACAAGATGTGGCCATTGAGGAGGAGCTTTTAAGGCCAGCGTTGAGCTTTGGGTCTTTACTCGTGTTTGTAAGGCTCTACTGAAAAGGAGACCCAATCTGTGGAACAGTTCAGTCCAATGGCTCTGGAATTTGGAGAAGATGTTTCAAATTTGGTCCTCTCATTCCTTTGCAGCAAAAGAGGCAAGTTGATCATCTGATTTTTGTTAGTCATCAGTGTTTGGAGGGTATAGATTGCTCACTTTAAAAACAAAACACAACAATGACCTTCTTCAATTCAATGCACAATCTTGCCAAAATCGACTCTGTGGCTTTTTTCATCGACAGAACCCTTTAACCATGGCTTGAGGGCATGGCCCTCTTTCATACCTGCAGAGTTGCATACTAAATTGAATGCTCCTTCAGAATTGGAGAGAAAATGTGATGTCAATCAACCAACAACTCTAGTGCCAAATACTTCTGCCTTCCTCAGCCACAATATGGTCGTTAGGGGCAGAATCAACTAGCTTGGTGTGCTCTGTGCTGCCAACATTAACTAGTTTTTTCTTTCTCCTCTTTCTGTTTTTGGAAAACCACCTGGAAGACCCTTCTTCTTACTCCAGAAGGTAATGGGAGGAATTTTGCTAAGTGAAGATATCATTTCTCATTTATAGGACTTGAAAGAATATTCTCTGATTCCCAGTGCCACATCAAAGGCCTCACCTTAAATCCTGGTGGACTTTTTCTTCTGTGGATATTTTTATTAGTAATGTTAGTTGCTGCAGAGCCCATGAAGAGTAGCTCCAGGGTTTATGCTTGGAAATAATTCCTCCTTCATTTGACTGATTTTAAAAGTGAGGTTGTGACCTGAGAAGTATCTATTGATTGAATGGCAGATGTTTTTTTCTTCCATCCCAGTCTTCCCTTGAATTTGCTTCACTTGAAATCTAAAATATTTTTCCCCAGCAGTTGGAAAACTCCACTTGGGCCCCTCAGTCCAGTACTGCTTTTTTCTGCCCCTTCCAATCCACCCTGGAAATTAAGATTCTGCAATTGGAAATTGACTGACAATTTGGTTGCTGATGCAGGAGGCAGATGGTGCTGAGGATAGGATGGAATCCAATTCTTCCTTCCATTCCAGGCTTGGCTCAGAAAGGCCAGCCAGCAGAGAACCTGAGTTTGACAGCTGATTGTCCATTTGACTTAAGGAAAGAGCAGTAACTGAGCTGCGTCTTCACCAGCCGCTTTCCAACAGGTTTCTGATCTCATGATCACGGCCTTTCAGAATAGAGGAAAAGTTGTCCAAGAACACTTCTGAGAAGCCTTTTTGTTTTAAACCCTCAAGAGTAAACAGATAGTTTTGATGATGTCCATTAGGGAAATACTTTTATTTTGTCTCTAAATAGTACTAGGAAGTTATAATGGAAATATTGGTTGAATACCCACTTCACCGTGGTGAAGAAAAGCACATAAAAACTTTTTCTCAAATTGTGAAACTGCTAGGACCTAGGTCTTCGGAGGAAGATGGGACCCAGGGTCAAATTCTTAGCAACCACATAACCTCATAGAATCCATGGCCCTGGCCCAATAACAAGAACTTTGTGAAGTGGACCACACAGTAAACTGAGTCCCTAGAGCCTTGTATTTCTGCTTTCCTAGAGTGAAGTTGGCCTATCGGGGCAATTAATTGAGCATGAAGTTTCAAGAGCCCTAAGATGGGATGACAAGTAGCTTCGGTGTTCACACTTGCCAGAGACACACTCTTGTCTGCTCCCAGTCTCAGGAAGCTGCAGCAGGGCTTTAAAAAGGAGACCCAGTCAGCTGCCACCGAAATAGTCCTCCTGTGCCAGCTGTGGCTGCAGACCCTAGACTCATCTCCTAGGACCTCTCACCCTTTCATTCCCCCTACCCCTAATCATCTGCTGTGGATCGTGAGAAGCCATTGAATTGAAATGACACTGCACATATTTCAATTCTCAGAGACAGCAGGGTCCTCTTTCTGCTCCTTTTGGAGAAAGGCTAGTTCCAATTGCCCGTGAACTAGCTGCTCTTCCACATCGATCCACTAGATGTCCTCATAGATCTACTTTGCATTACCATTGACATCCTGGGGAAAACGTTGTCTGAGAACTGGGATTTGGTAAGGGAACAATGGGTGACTATGTAAGAAAGAAAATTAGCAAACACCAAAGGAGAGAGGACGCTTTGTGTGGCCAGGGAGTAGATAAGAAATTTACTTCTGTTTTAATAAATCTGAAACTTTCAAAGTTGCACTTTGAGACCTAACCTTCGGAATTTAAAGTGGAAGTCTTCGTATCTAAAATTAACGTTCTAACCTAAATCAGCTCTAGAAAAGGAAACAACCACTGAGAAATGGAAACAAAACACCAGTGGTTCTGAATATCCTGATTCACTAAAACAAAATTGAAGGATCAGGAAGCCAGAGAGAGTTGAGAGAGATGAGGGGTGGTAATTTCCAAATTAGGAGGTCCACGACTTAACTTTGATATAATTTAATTTTACAACTTGAGACTATAATTTTACACAGACAGTGTTCAATTCTTCTGGAACATCTACCACCAGGGAGTCAACTCCTCATCAGCTTTTAGTTAAAGAGCTTGTTCATTATTTGAGTAATGGCCCAGAGGAGAGTTCTTCCTGGCCAGTACTCATATCCTTCAAGCCTGATGAATCGCTCCACCAGGTCTTACCTTTAAGAAAGTGGACCCAGAAGTCTCTAGGTGAAGACACCTGACAGGGAGTCAATGGAAATGGACTATGCCAGCAGTAGCGAAAAAGAGCCACCTTCCCAGTTGGTGGCACCTTGATCTAGACATTCTGATTCCTGAAGGTTTGTCAACATGTGGGGCTCAATAGTTTTTAACTGTTTCTGTCTTGTCTTTGAGCCTCTCATTGATCGTTCCTGCTGATTTTTTTTTTTCTTTGTGTGTGTGTGGTGGTGGTGGTGGTGGTGGTACTTGTTTGTCTTTTGAGATTTCTATTTTGCATTTGGTGTGAGTGTAAAAATGATTGGGAAGGAATGACGAGTAATAGCATGTTTTCTTTTTTATGCATATGCTGCTTTGGAATGTGACTGCTTATAATTAACAGTTAATCTTCTTATAGCAAATGGTTTTTTGCTGCTTCGATTACCAGTTTCAGCCTGTTCCTGCATGCTAACAATAAGAAATTTTAGAACAATGCATGGTCACCAGAACGGCTAACAATAACAGTTGCAAACAGTCCCTGAGAGCCACTGGTTTGTCGCTGTGTTTCCTCCTGAACTCATATCAAGTAGGAGGTTTACATCACCCATTCTGATCCATTTGCCTCTGAACAAATAGTTTCAAAAGTTATTTCATCTCCATCATCCTTCCCCTTATCCTTAAAGATGGTATATTTATAAGAACTTTCTTTCCCCATAAATGTGTCAGATTCTATTATTGTATATAAACCCAAAATGGCAGTATGGAAATGAAAACCAGGGACTGTTGCTAATGAGAAGCATAGCATTCCAGAGTTTGATGGGCTTCTCTTCTGCTACAGCATTTGATTAAAAAATTGTTTTTCAAAACGATTTATCTATGATGAAACAAAAAATCATCCTTGTTTTCCTCTTCTGTGTAAATAACAAATCAATATTTCCAGTAAAAGAAATAAGAAGGAGAAAACAAGGGAATGTCTGCAGATTGTATGCCAGATCCGGATGCATTTAAGATAAATTTATGTTCATGTCTTTAATTGAAGACTTTTTTCCCTTTCTTGACTTAAGCCATTGCTGTTTGTTTGGGATGTCTGGGCATTCACACCATGCCTTCTAAATTCCTCTGATTCAAATGCTATAGTGGAAATTTTTTTTTTTTTTTTGGTAAAAGCTAAAGCTCAAAGGAATGATATACCACCATTGAACAGGGCTGGGGCTGCATGATGATCTGAACAACAGACTAGCGAGGACACTAAAAGAACATGTCACTAAAAATGTGAGCCAAGTTTACAAGAATGGAGTTGCTGCTGAAGAGATCTCTCATTCATCTCCCCCAGTGCCTGTTCTTCACAATCATAACGTTACCCTTGCTTGACAAATATACTGTATGGCAAGTCATAAAGGTCTTAGAACAGGACTTGACCCATTTGAGAGATTTAAACCCCTCTTCCTGGTGACTGTAACATTCAAAGAGGGCAAAACCACAAGCCATATTTTAAAATAAGAGTGCAACCATTCTCTACAAAGAAAAAGAAAGAGGGGTGGGGGAAATGACTTTCAAAATGGAAGGTGTGGATGCAGGGAATAACACCTCCTCAGTTTAGGTTTACTATTTGGCAGTAATGCTTAGAATAAATGTGAATTCTTTTCCTACCTTGTGAGAGAAGCAGGCCAGTTCATGCTAAGTGATAAGCAAACATGTTTGCCTGTTGTAGCATCAAAGTGAGGTACAAAAACCTTCTCTTGTACTGAAATATAAATTGGCTTGAAAGGCAAAGGTGAAGCGCATTGGAAACTACGATGCTGACTTCCAACAACTTTTATAGGTTACCACTCAGTTTGGATCCCCAGGCAGTGCAGAACCTACCATACCAGCTTGAGAAGAGCTATCAATGCTGCATGCAAATTGCATTAAGATATTTCACACGGAACCTATTCTTTTATTTCATGTTTTGTCAGTTTTAATCGATTTTGGCAAATATTTTCTGTACAAGGAAAAAAACAAGAATATGATTAACCAATAGCCTGATTGCTTCCTGAATTTCTATTTGGTGGGGAGAGAAAGGCAGATGTGATTTTCAGATCCTCTCAGCTTTAAGCAGAAAATACACCCATGAGTAGCTAAATGCATTCCAATAGAGCAACATTTCATATGCTTTTGGTGATTTCTTATTTGTGAACTGCCTTTAATGTCAAATCTGCAGCATTAGTCTTGAGTAGCTGCATTTCTTATATGGACAGATTTGGATATTTGTTCTGTCAAGAGTAAATTTAAATTCCTGTAGCCATCATGTAAACTCACTCTCGGGAAGTTCAGCAAAGGCATCCTCAGATTTTATATTAACACGTAATCGTTTCACATCTAATTTGATGAAAGCTTATCCCAGCCTCTGACTAATGCCCAGAAATGGATGGAAATTAGAAAGCCTACATATTAGATATTTTTGCCTCTTGCAAAAACCATTTATTATACCAAATAAGCAACTAATTTAATTGATTGGCAGTGTGTGTATTTTGTCCTCCTGTATTAATCGTACCAGGGGAAAAGTGTTGGTTACATTTTTTGCTGTCGATAATTTGCTCTTCTTCCCATCTGAGAACCTGAGTGTATTCAGCCATGCCCTTTTCCTGTGGTCACCGCTTTACCTAGGGGAGAAAAATCATGTGCAACAGCCTTGGGGGACGATAAAGGCAATTTATATTTTCGCTGCTTTTTTGATGTACAACCAAACTGTTACCAACAATCACTCTGCATTTTTTTCTGGGTCAAGACTGTTAAAGTGAACTAAGACCTGTGTTAAATCCCTTCAGCTTCCTTCCAGCTGCCTTGCTGTGTGTGACCTTGCCATTAATTGCCGCTCTTCCTCTCCTCCCATCCAACCACACGGTTATAGCCAAGATGTCCATCTACAAGAGAATGAGACGAGCATGTTGTTTTGATTGCGGACGTTCTGAGCGTGACTGCTCGTGCATGTCAGGCCGTGTGCGTGGTAACGTGGACACCCTTGAGAGAGCCTTCCCACTTTCTTCTGTCTCTGTTAATGATTGCTCCACCAGTTTCCGTGCCTGTAAGTTTAACCTCAACACATGTAGTTCCATGTTTGTGCTGTCTGTGGTATCATCCCTGTCTTGTGCTGTGCCCTGTGGTTCTGAGTCAGTCGGGCTGATGTCTTCTTCCCAGTGTGAACTCCTGTGTGGTGACATGTTGCCCCAGCTGCCTGTGTCTCTGTGCACGTGCTGAGGAAGGCCTCCCTTCTGATTTTCTTAACTTGTGCTTCTCGTAATAGCATGCAGGACTGTGATATTACAGTCTGGTGATATCTTTCCTCTCTCTCCTTTAAATAAATGTAAATGGAAATTAAAGTGACAGCATATCACCTACTGTATTAATACAGAGATATGTGGAAGTGTACATCTTAATATTTTTGAAATGGCTGTAAATTGAATTGTATCAAAGGGAGGAAGGAAAGGGTGTAGCGAGAACAAGCCAGCTCTAGAATTAAATTGCTTTTAGTGAGCTTAGATAGTTTCTTAGATAGCTTCCAAAATATAACAGTTTTGATGCAGGTGGAGATATAGATATGTGTAGGTATGTATTTTTTTTTTCTTTTTACGGTGTCTCTCTAACCTGTGCCTCATTCCTCCCGTGCCAGATTTTGTCCTTTGTTCTGGAAAAGAGTATTGTATGTCTGTCAGCCTGCATTGGGCTAGTGGATTCCAGAGCTTTTTCTCAGAAAGATGACTATTTTGAAGGACTATTCCATTAATATATTTTATTTTTCCAATAGTATAGCCCCTGTTTAACTAAGGTATCTTGTAGCAATTGTGATTCCAAATGCCAACAAAAAATTTAAGTCAGAAACCTCTGTGATTTCCCCGAGTCCATAGCACAGGCCTCCGATGTCAGTCTTCTTTGTCATCCACAAGCTCAGAGATGTTAAAGAACCTGTCAAGGTTATGCAGCTGGTAGCTGGCAAGGTTGAGATGTGTCAGTTTCCTGAGGCCTCCCTTATCCTTGCCTTCACCATGGACTTTGCTGTTTTTCTGATATGGTTCATAAGTGAAGTTCCTGAAAGCTCCAGTTTGAGACCCTGGGACCGTGGGTCTTGGTCCAAGTGCCAAAGGGGCTGTGGTTCCACTGGAGGACTTTACTTGAAGTATAACTAACTTTGTTTTCATGTTTTGGTAGCATAGAAGGTAGGAGATGCTTCTCGTTTCTGCACTTCCTCCCTTCCTCTTTAAAGCACCCAACACATTTATTGCTAACTTCTTGCTCCCTGTCCTCTCGCCTTCCAAGTGCTCAGAGCTGGTTGAGCTACACTTTCCCCAGCAGGGGTAGGTGTACACTGACAACAAGAGGAAGAAGATCACTGAGCTCTTAGGCATTTATTCCCATGGAAAATGAACTGGCTTGACTCCCCTGTGCCGCTGTTGAGGCTGGTCCCAGCGGAGTGCGGCTGTGTTGCAGGGATCCATGAGGCCTCTGGGGCTCAAGGAACCGGGACTTCACTGTGTGCCATGCCAGGTGCTTATGTTTGGGCCCGAAGTTCAAGTGCAAAGCATGATCTGTGCATCGAGCCGTATTGGAGGCATTTGGAAACCTTTCATCTAGGACCAGAGAGTCATCCTCTCTGATTCACGATTTCCTGCTGCTCCAGAGCAGTGCCAAGGGACAGGATTCACTTCAAAGTGATACCTAATGGAGGTTGCATTGAGAGGGAGTGTGGACTGCCCCATGGGCCTAAAATCTTGGAAAGATTTCTGTTAAAATCCTTAGATGCTGCCATATGAATCCTTATCACTTTATTTTCCCCTGAAGAGTTCTCTGTAGTTCCTATGCCAGTACAGAGATAAGCTAGGGCACAGCTGCACAGAGAACTTGTCTGTCTACGATGTGCGGCAAGATACCACGTTGAAAGATAGGTGCTGGGGAGGAAGAGCAGAGGAGGGCCTGAGGTGGCATGAATTGGTCACATCTCTTTGACTGATGGTGGTGAAAGTAACCACAAGCCCCGCTGGCTTACCTTTCTGCCTAATGGATGACTTCTGTTCTCAAATAATCATGAGGCTCTAAAACCTTAGCCTAGATTCAGTGGAGAAGAGAAAGGAGCCACTGTGGCTCTGAGCTACGGCCCCTTGGTCATGTCCTGGCGCTGGCCAACAATGCCAATCACAGCAAACTCTGTGTCCCCCACGTAGACCCCATGGTGCCCAGTGTGTATAATTTCCATTATATCCAAGAGAAATCTTAATTAGAGGGATTTCTCAGCTGTGCAATTTAATCCAACCATTGATGGAGACCAGGGAGAAGAAAATCTTGGGGTGGGATTGTCCCATTCTCTAAGAAACATTCTGTGAGTGGCATGTTGTCCCTCCTGTGCCTCCAAAATCAGCCCCCACCAGGGAACACGTGGAGCTTTGGGCTGCATGTTGGAGCCTTAACTGGTACTGACAGCTCAGGGGGCGGTTTGCCTTCTCCGTTTCATCAGTCATCCTGCCGTCATCACTCCATCAAACAAAAGCAGATTTCATCCATCCCTGTGTGAGACCACTCACCTTTGACCATTAATAATAAGTTAGAAAAATCCATTCCAATTTGAGCCCCTTCTTGGGCCCGCATAAGCCCTTCTTCTCCAATTAAAAAAATGTCTGTCTCTATGTGAAATTCCACTGGCAGCGCTCCAATAGCAATCCCCAGGCATCCCTCGCTGGTGGTGGAGTTGGGTGGTGCCCATTTGACAGAGTAAGTTGACTCAAGAGCAGCGGTGAGAGTGGGCTTTTCATTAAATATGAACAGATGTGAAATGTAGAGGGTTTGACAATTAGAAATGGCAGGAGAAGGGCCCTTGAATCAAAGTGAGGTCAGATGGGCGGATCAGATTACTTCTCTTACATTCTTTAGTTGTTCTGAAAATCATTTTGAATTAGTGTCAGCAGAGCCATGATGAGTTTTGCCCTTTGTCTTTTATGCTAGGGCTGTATTGTTTCCCAAGACACTCATTAAAGGTCATTATGCTATTATGGAGCTTGCTTTGGTCGCAGTTTCCCAGTTGAGCCAGTGTGCTTTGGAGACTGCCTAATTCATTTCTCTCTTGCCTTTCGTCTCCCTCTTTACTCTATTTTTTTTCTTATAAGGGGAAAAATTTCCGTTTTCAAGGGATGTTAAATTGAAACACAAAGTCCCATTATGTGTTTCCTGAAGTGGGAAGAGAAGTAGCTGGTTCCCAGAGGAATAGTAATATATTAAAAGTGTTCACACAGTTCTGAAAACCTGCCTTCTAACAGCAGGGGCTGCCTGCTCGGTGTACCCCTCTATGGAGGTGTGGCCCATTACTGTGGATCGGTTAAGTCACGTGCTATTATGATAGTTGTCTTCTGTGGAACTCAGGAGCAGATGGAAGGCCAGACTGTATTGACCAAAAGACCTTCAGAGGGGAAGGACTAGTTAAGGAAAGACAAAAATCAAAATAAAAGGTGTCAGAAAAGTAAGGTAAATTGTGACCGATAAGGATTCATCACAAAAGGATTTTATTTCTGGCAAGACTGAAATGTTCAATATGGTAGGCTAGAATCAGTGCATAGAGTGTCATTTTATGATCATCTTGGTTTTGTTTCCACTTCAGATGGTCCTGGGCAAGAGTCCCAGCTCTCTCAAAAGACATCAGGATGGTGTGGGCCTTGGCTTTTTCATAAGTGGCTGTGTTCTGGTACTATTAAATGTAAAAAATGAATGTCTAGCAACATACACATGCACATAAATACAGAAGTAGATTCCAATCAGTATGATTTCTTCCCACTATAATTTTGTAAAATGGACCTTTCTCTCTCTTTAGAAGTTTATTCTTGTTATTTCAGTCTTGCCTGCTATCTGATTGCTAAGTGTAATAGAAAGGGACAATTAAAATTATGATGCAGTGGCAACGCAGGACCATATTGATTCAGACCTGCTGAGACCTGCCTGACATGATTCTGGTCACAAAGCATCAGTAACTCTGGCACAAACAAATTAATCATATGGTAGAAGAGAAGCAGACCTTTAGACTTGCACTTGGAACCAGCTTTAGCTAAAGTACGTGTGTGATCACTGACACCAACCTTTCAATTTACTAATAGTTTAAACCTGCACAATTACATGCATCCTTTTGCAAACTACTGTAGCTAATTTTAAATTATACATGACTTTTATTTCGGGTATAAATATAATACAAGAAGGCATTCAACTCTGATGGTTAAGCTGAGAGAAGTCCAATATGGTCAAGTTGAAGGGAGACATACCAAAATCAGTTTAATGTAATCTCGAGTCTTGTCAGATAATAAACAAAAATCAGCTTATCCCAAGTAGCCTTTGGTTTGTACAGGCAGAGAATTAACATTGTCAATAGAACTAAAGTCACTGGAGTGAACTAATGGCATTTTGAAGTACATAAAATCAGATACAAGGGCAAGGGGTGGAAACAGCTCTAGGAAAATGTCTACAATAGGACACACCCTATCCTGACAGTCTCCAACGCCTGTTAAAGGAGAGTTAATTTAATAAGCTACATTTAAAAATCAGCAGCCTATAATTATCTCATTCATTTTATGTGCAGTTTTGGGCGACTTCCTCAAATTCCCCAATCCTAAATTCTATTTGCTTATTTTACTTCTGGGCCCTAAAAGCAATGACTTCCCTCTTTGCACTACCACTACCAGTGAGAAAAAGACAAAAAAAGGAGAGCCAAGGATAATAAGCACAAATCAATGTGATCATAGTTTTTCATGTATTCTTTTTAAAGCCCGTTCGTCTGAGTCTCCATTTTCTTCCATCTTCCCGTGCTTGCCATGCTCATGTGAGCGCGCTCCCTCTCTCTGTCAATATCCATCACACCTGTGCACACCAAGCACTACCAGAACCTTTGGGTTCTCTCCTGGCTCTTTAGTTACCCGGGCCCATGCGTCCTGATTTGACCCTTTGTACTTCACTGCAGGAAGTAAAAACAAAGTGGCAGATCGGCCTAGGCAGCCATTGGGTTGTCGCCTGTGACTAAGACCTAGTGATGGACCTGGAAGGGGCTTCTTAGGATACTCT